GATGCTTCTCTCGCAGCGACTGGCATGTTTGAGGTATTAGCTACCAAGCACGTACGTGTCATGATGGATTCTTCTTTGTCTCCAACTTTGATTGACAGTGATGGGAAATCTCTCAAGACTTCCGCCATTTCATTACCACGCTCACCACATCCGACGTAGACAATGACATCCGAGTTCGAATATTTACTCAATGCTTGAGAAATGACTGTCTTCCCGCATCCAAAGGCGCCTGGGATAGCACAAGTTCCACCCTGGACACATGGGAATAACGCATCAAGGACTCTTTGCCCGGTGACCAATGGGGTTGTGCTTGTAATTTTATCAGCAGTGGGTCTTGGCTTTCTGACGGGCCAATGATGGGCCATTGTTAATTCCTGTGTTTTTCCGTTGAACTCAATGCCAATGACCTTATCGTCCAAAGTGTAATTTCCAGCGTCTGCTATCCACTTGACTGTACCCATCACATTTGGTGGGACAAGTACTTTGTGAACGACCAATGCACTTTCTGGGACGGTACCGATGATATCACCGCCAGAGACCTGGTCCCCGATTTTCAATAATGGTGTGAATTCATAAGGCTTTGTGTGGTCGAGGGATTGTACTGAAATACCTCTTGGGATGAAAATGGACCCGCTTTTATGTGAAATAGTGACAAGTGGTCGTTGAATACCATCGAAAATGGAAGCCATAATACCAGGCCCCAATTCAACGGAAAGTGGTTTCATAGTACGTTCGACCATGTCGCCAAGCTGAAGACCAGCAGTCTCTTCGTAGACTTGAATGGTAGCTGTTGTTCCTTCGAGACGAATGATCTCGCCCATCAGCCCATTACTTCCGACACGGACCAACTCATGCATAGCTGCTCCTAACATATTCTCTGCAATGACGACGGGACCCGAGACACTGTAGACCTTTCCGAAATCGTTTTCTTTCTTTTCTGAGTCGAAGAACGCCATTTGAATTGATTCTGCTTTTCGAGTTTTAATCAAGTTCAAGGTTTTTCTGTATTTGTTTTCTTTTCTTTTTCTTCTTTCTTTATGATATTTATGAAGTTCCTTTCTGCTCATAAAATCACAGCTTATCACTCATTCTTTTCGGGATTTCCTGTGGTTTTTTGGGCTGTTTTTCTGCTTTTTGGATTTTATGTGGGAGGTTTCTTACTAATTATCGATCATTTAAATACTATTAATATATAGTTTCTGATTACTGGGTGTCAAAATAATTGTGGAAAGGTGGTCTCACAATAGTTGTTTGGTCGTGGTTTGAGAGAGAAAAAACACAAAAATGATTGTTTTGGTACAAAAATAAATATTAAAAAAAACATAATTTAAAACATTATTTTAACAATTATATTGAACAGTATAGCATATTTTACTTTTAAATTAATTAAAATCATTATAGGAATAACCCGTCATTGTATAACGGGATTATAATAAAATGGTTAATTGATAATTAAATTTAAATAATAAAAATAATTAATAATTAATTTCAATACTATTTATAAACTTTTTAATAAACACAAAAAAATATGAAAAAAAATATAATTAATATTCAAACATTTTATTTTATTATATAAAATAATATAATTATTTAATATAGTTTTTAATTCCATTTTATAAATCAAATAAGTATTTTTCATTTTTTTATTATTTTCCAATTTTTCTTACTTTTACAATAACTTCTTAAATAAAATAGCTCGTTAAATAACTCGAAGCAGACTTTATTTGTTTTTATTTAAAACTAATAAAATAATAAAATAATCAATTAAATTTTTACTATTAACGATCCATCAAAAAACTTCATATGAGACAACCACCCACATGAATAATTGAGGTTTAACCCAGAACTTCAAAAAGAAAACGATGGAAGAGACTGCTGGACAACCATTAGAACATTTTATAAACGAAATTAAAACACTTAACAGTTTAACATATGAGGAATTGTTTCAAGCACTTCCGAAAACGTATGAAGACCATTTAACTGCATTTCTCCGACTTCCAAAAGATCCCACCTTTGAAGTTTATGTCTCGCGAGTTAACTCCTTGGCGGACCAAAAAGGGGATGCTTCATTACTCATTCCTTTTGTTACTGTTTTTAACACTATTAAACAACAGAAGATGAGAGTGTTAACTTCGATAGAATCCACCGCATTGCATTACTTATTGATGACACCGACAAACGCACTGATCTCATTCAATGACTTCCACGACGTGTTTTACACACAAACGACTCTATCGACAAAAAACTTGAGGGCGTTCTGTTACTGGGCCGGTTGCTTGTTTTTAAGAGCGAAGTGGTACGAGCAAGCCAGTTCAATGTTTTATATTTGTGCGTCGACGCCATGTCCATTAGATGCTCCAAGTGTGTTAGGAATAGCTGCTGTTAAGAAGTTGATACTTCTCATGACTTTCACTACTTTTGTTTGTTCTATTTCATTTGAGTATTATCTTTTGGAGACTACTTTTATTATTATTATTTTGTATTATCTTTTTGAGACAAAATAACACACAGAAAAGAACTATTCCGTCGCCTTATAAATACACTACACCAAAATTGTATCATACAATTGTTGGGCAAGTGCTCAAGAAAGATTTACGTCAACTGAAAATCACAACAAACATCAATTACGAAGAATTAAATAAAGAAGGGGATATTGAGTTAATTCGAGTTGTGTGTCAAATGATGAAAAAGAACATTGTCATTCAAATATCACACACTTTTAGTGTTATGACACTTAACTCCCTCGTTCAGAAGAGTCAAATAGACGGAAAAGAATTGATTGAAATTATTGAAAGTGGGATGAGAGAGGGACTCGACTGGGCTGTGACAGAAGACACCGTCTACTTTAACACTAACCATAAGACTGTTGCCGATTTTAGCAAAACAGAACAACTCAAATTATTCCAAGACGTCCTTGTGAACGCAGACGAGGTGATGATCGCAAACAAAAAACAGACGGACAAAACAAACAAGAAGTAGTGAGTACAACTCACCCATCGATGAATAAAGACAAATCTTATTTTATAGTTTTGTTTTATTATTATCGTTTATTATTTAATTATGTGATGACGTGGATTTTTTATTTTTATAGAGTTCGAGTTTTGAACTTTTTCGTGATTTAGTATTATAAATTATGATACAATTAATTATAGTTTTTTGTTATAATGAGCATTGTTTATTGAGGAATTTACTTTGATTTTCAAGATAATTATGAGATAAAAGTTTAGTAAATATAAGAACTATAAAAACGATTTAGAACTACAGTTAAAAAAATCTAAAAAACAGGGAAAACACTGAACTAAAAATAGAAAAATAAACTGAAAATAACAAGCGAAAAAAATGAAATACTAATGAAATATAACACATTATAGTAAATCCTTTTAGTTATAGAAACAAAAATGGAGGAATGAAGTGATATAAAAAGAATAAAAAAACTCAGAAATGAGATGGGATTTGAGATTGAGAAGTACAAAAAGATTGCGAATGGATGGTACCAAGAGTTCATGAAGGAGGCGGACACCTTAACCAAATACTTTGCTTTTGGCGCACCAAAGAACAAAGACAAAGCGATGAAAAGAATAACTAAAAACACCGACCTGTTCAAGGAGATCTACCTTGTTTTCTTCATCATTATCTATACCGTCTTTGTGTTTGTATGCCCTTCTATCTTAATCAGCGGAATCTGCGCACTCCTTGTCGCAGTCATCTATTCACTCTGTGATGACTTTGGTGTTGAAGCTATCGCAAAACTCCCGCCGATGTATATCCAAATTGCTATGGCTGTCGTTCTTGTCATTGTCTCTCTTATTGCAGGTGATATCACTTATGTTCTTTCCGCAATGTTCATCTCATTAATCGTGATTGGCACTCATGCTGCGTTGGCAAGTAAATCCGCTAAAATCAAAGGAGACATCAAAAAGGGTGTCGAAGGAATGAAGAAAGATATTAAGAAAGAACTTGATTAATTCTAATGATTCAATTATTTTTTTAAATCTATTCATAAATAATAAAATATAGAATAAAATAAAGTTGATGATTTGTTCTTAATTTTTCCTTTATCACAAAAAATGTCATTGTCTTTGAGCGACAATCTCTATACTATTAATTGAAATAAACCATATCATTAAGATTTGTTTTCAAAAAAAGTGTAGCTTGTATTATTACTACAATGATAAAAAACCATATTATCTAATAAAAAAACTATATAAATATACTAAAAAGGTGTACTTCAATCTCGTTAAACAAAAACCTCAAGGAGACGAGATATATAAGAACTCAATTAAGTTCTCATAATTCAATGGAACCAGCACAACCAGTAACACCACCAAAAGATGGAGAACAACCCGCACAACCACAACGCGTTGCACCAAAGCCATACAGATTGATTGTTGACGAAAACACGGGAGAAGATATGTCAGTTGTCTACATGAACCCCAATCGAATGGCCGAGTTAAACTTCTTTGAAGGCGACTCAATACTCTTGAAAGGGAAAAGAAGGAACGAAACTGTGTGCTTAGTTTTACCGGACGAAGAGTTGGAGGCCGGTAAGATCCGTATGCACAAGATCATCCGATATAATTTGCGTGTGAAATTGGGGGATGTCGTAGGGGTCCACTCGATCGACAACGTCCCATACGCGACGAAGATCCACGTGTTGCCCATTGATGACACCGTTGAAGGAATAACTGGAGATTTGTTTGAAACTTTCATTCGTCCATACTTTGGGGATGCGTTTAGACCCGTTAAGAAGGGAGATCACTTCTTGTGTCACGGCGGTATGCGCACTGTTGAATTTAAAATAGTTGATGTCGACCCAGCGCCTTATGCGTTGGTTGTGAATGACACCGTCATCCACTGTGAAGGAGATCCCGTTAAAAGAGAAGATGAAGAGAGACCTGACGATATTGGGTATGACGACATCGGAGGGTGCAGAAGACAATTGGGACAAATTCGAGAGATGGTGGAGTTGCCGTTGAGACACCCACAACTATTCCAGGCGATTGGAATTAAACCACCAAAAGGCGTGTTGTTGTATGGACCACCGGGATGTGGGAAGACTATGATTGCGAGAGCCGTAGCGAATGAGACGGGCGTCTTCTTGGTATTAATTAATGGACCAGAAATTATGAGTAAAATGGCTGGTGAGTCTGAAGGGAACTTAAGAGAAGCATTTGCGGAGGCTGAAAAGAACGCGCCTGCTTTGATATTCATTGATGAAATTGATTCTATTGCACCGAAGAGAGACAAAGCACAAGGCGAAGTCGAAAAGAGAGTTGTGGCACAGTTACTCACTCTGATGGATGGCATGAAAAGTCGCGCTAATGTAGTTGTGATGGCTGCGACTAACAGACCAAATTCGATTGATACTGCGTTGAGAAGATTTGGGAGATTTGATAGAGAAATTGATATTGGAGTCCCTGATGAGACGGGCCGCCTTGAAATCCTCAATATCCACACGAAGAAGATGAAAATAGCTGAGGACGTTGATTTGGTCCAAATTGCGAAAGAAACCCATGGACACGTTGGTGCTGATATTGCACAACTATGTAATGAAGCTGCTATGTTGTGCATCAGAGAGAAGATGGCGTTAGTTGATGTAGAAGCCGACACAATCCCCGTCGATGTTTTGAACTCAATGAAAGTGACAATGGATCATTTCAGAAAGGTGTTGAAGACATCCACACCATCAGCGTTGAGAGAAACTGTCATAGAAACACCAAACATCAAGTGGGAAGATGTTGGAGGTCTTGAGGATGTTAAGAGGGAGCTTAAAGAAGTCGTCCAATATCCCGTCGAGTTCCCCGACAAGTTTAGAAAGTTTGGTATGGAGCCATCAAAGGGGGTTTTGTTCTTTGGTCCACCTGGTTGTGGTAAAACACTTCTTGCGAAGGCAGTTGCTTCACAGTGTCAAGCGAACTTTATTTCAATTAAAGGGCCTGAATTATTGACTATGTGGTTTGGAGAGTCTGAAGGGAATGTCAGAGAAGTATTTGATAAAGCAAGACAAGCTGCGCCATGCGTCTTGTTCTTTGATGAGTTGGATTCTATTGGTAAAGCAAGAGGTGGGGGAGCTGGTGACGTTGGAGGATCAGCGGATAGAATTTTGAATCAGCTTTTAACTGAAATGGACGGTGTTGGAAAGAAGAAACAAGTCTTTATTATCGGTGCGACTAACAGACCAGATATTCTCGATCCGGCTTTGATGAGACCAGGTAGGCTCGACCAATTGTTGTTTATTCCATTGCCAGATAGAGACTCAAGACTTTCGATTTTGAAGGCAAAGTTACGAAAAACACCCGTCGACCCAGATGTCTCACTCGAATGGATTGCCGATCATACTGAAAATTTCTCTGGAGCTGATTTGGCTGAAATTGTCCAGAGAGCAACTAAGGAGGCGATTAGAGACAATATTACTCAAAGAATAGCAGCAGAACAAAAAGGAATGGAGGTTGAAATCAAGGCAATGATTATGAAAAAACACTTTGCTGCTGCTTTGAGAGATGCAAGAAGATCCGTCTCAGATGTGGAAATTCAAAGATATAATATGTACGCCGAAACACTCTTACAGAGAAGAGGATCCACTAACCATTT